GCGAAAACAATAGCTATTGTGTATTAATTTTAGACAATTTTGGTTTAGATAGCAATAAAAATYGATTGTTTAAATTATTATTTGATTTGTTTAGGGCTTTAGGCATTAAATATTTTGGTTATTTTTGGTTGAATTTATCTAAGATCCAATCCATGGGTTTCAATATTTTTGTAAGTCTCACAAATAAACAGATAGGTATATATCTAACACGAATAACAATACTGTTACATTCTCATAATACATTTTTAATTTTACAACAKCGAAATGTTCTATAGTAACAAATACGGCTTGGTGTAACGTTTGGATCTTTTATTACTTAATTATATATAATATAATATATACTTAATCAAGAGGTATAATTAAATCATAATTTTATTTAGAACTATGAAATTTTTTTCATCCTTTTTTATTTTGCCTTGGTTTTTTAAAATTACATAACTTTTATTTCAGAATAATTTTTCATTTTGTAGTATTTTAGTATTTCTTTAATAATTTATTTACCTTAATGATTTCTACATAATTGCTTTTGAATGCATCGTAACAAATAAAAATAAGAAACCTATTTAAGGTATGCYGCACAACATATTTATAATTTGATTACTCGAAAATTATCAACATTTAACAATTTAAAATTTAACATACATTTATACAAGGACAATCAAGCACAATATACTACCTACTTAGGTATAGTATACATTTATTGGTATTTGCCCCTGTGAGTTAAAAATGAATAAACATGTTTGTTTTTATATTCATAAACTAACGACCTCATAATGCTTGAAAAATATTTTATTGTACAAGACTTTGACAGAGAAGTAATTTATACTGTTGAACTTTTAAAATTATTCTCAATAATAACGTGGATCATTGTAGCACGTGTTCCCGCTGCAGCTACTCAGTATAGTATGAAGTGGTATAGATACATTATTATTATATTTCAAACACGTCCTGACAGTAAACACACAGATCTAATCAAACGCGATATAATAATAATTAAATATATATATTGTATGTACATGATTTCTACTTCTTTATGGGTTTAGTTGAGCACGCTTTATAAAATCGTTTTCTTGGTTGATCATTACCTATTTTTGATGTAGGTATTCATATACTGTATAGCATATAAACTGGGAACCGGTTGTTTTGGAAAACTTGTCTTTTTAAATCCAACACAGATAGAGAGAGAAAGATGCTAGTTAATGTCTGTCGATTAAATTTGATACATGTTAACAAGTGCTATTATCCTTCAACAAAAATACGTGCTATTGACAATTATTAACAAAATCCAAATGCTATTGTACAACATAGGTAAGTATAAGTAAATAGAATGTTTATTAGAACTCTTATTTATTTAATAATATTTACAAACCTAATTTATCGAATTTATCATTATACAATATATTCGTATATTATGCAGTATTATGTCATATAAGTTCCGTATCACCAAGTATCGCTAGACAAATTAATATTATACTTAAATGAGTTTTTTTAGCAGTATTTTTTTCAGTAAAATTTTAATTTAAAACATACATTTAAAAAAAAGTATTTTATGCAATGAATGTTTAAAGTAGCATTATAAAAGATGTTTAAAATCAGTATTTAATTAGAGATGGAAACCTAACTAATATAATAAATATTATATACCGATTTGGGTTCGTTAACATCAGTAAAGCATAATATATAATTATATATATTATATTATTTATCATTCAAATACAGCTTGTACTCTTCTTTATAAGTAATTACTACTTAGCAATTACATTGAATATGACATAGAATAATAAGGTACCCAGTTATTTACATCACTATTAGGAAGTAGGTATAGGTACTTACTACCTACTAATTCACTAAGTCAAATTTATTAAGTTGTTTTTTTTACTTAAGATTCTGCTCATGACTTCATGAGCACAGTGGATATCTATACCTACTGCAGATACATTTTGTATTATTATAGCTGGTCTTGTAATGAAAAGTTTTTCATAATTTCCCCTTAATATGTATAGATTAGAAATTTGACATAGATACCTACTAGAATTTAAAGATGTGGAAAGAACAAAAATTATTAATTGTGAGGAATTATATATAGGTATAGGTATCTAGGTGAGTAGATTAAAATTTGCAATACTATAATGACCGTGATAATAACTTAAATATGTAGAAATATTTCTGAATTTATATCAATTTTAAATTCTGTATTTACATTTTAATCGTAATGTATATAGAATGGTTATACTAAGCATAAAACATTGGCCTATCCTAAAATGTTTTTTTTTACTTAATTAAGTTTACATATATATAACAACGAATAGGTAAGTCATTCACTCTAATATGAAAACTGACAAATCTCAATGCAATTTACTGAATGTAAGTTTGTACGTTATTAATTTATAAGGCACAGACAATATATATATATATTATAGACAGAGACGCGTTTTCATAATTTATTTAGACGTACCTATATATCAATAAATATTAAAACGAGTTTTAATAATTAATTAATTAATAATATCATAATGTGATGATAAGAATACATTTAGGGTGGAAATAAAAACAAGTTTATTCAATAAAATATTTACGTTAAAATTTGTCTGTGACGGTTGTGAATTATTTGTAGCATGTTGAATAAATAGGATAATATTATTGCTAAGGGAAAATTTATACGACACGCGCAGGTATCGGCGTATTATTTGCCGTTGACAACCTTCTTGATACGTGATTGTATTGAGTAATAATGCTCTGTTTCAATATATTGTTAYTTGAGATAGAAAGTGTTATCAGTAATTATAATTTAAGATTTTAACTTACGATTATATACAAAATATGTTAATGAAAATATGGTAAGTTCTGATTTGCTATACACCCAGGATATCCCTAGTGGCTAGTCTTGTTGTTGAATGGTAAATGCTCTCAACAATATCTAATACAATTTTATAGATGATTTAGTTTAATATAATATCATATGGTATATCTATTATGTAATAATAGATACTATTTATTAAGTAGATATATATTAATTATTATAATATTACTATATGTTGGTCATACAGGGTGATTGATTTATCAAAGAACACTCATTATTTAAAATAGTATTTACTTTTTTCAAAATATTTTTTTACATAGTTTCGAGTTGTTAAAAAACCAACGTTTTTATTAAAAAAATTATATTTTTAAATATTTTTTATCCTTAGCATTTTTTATGTTTTTTACTTTTTTGAATGACATCATAGAGTTTTGATTTCATATTCCAAAGCAGAATATTTTTCTAAGTATTTTGATTCATAAAAATCGAATTTAGGACGAGTAATTTATGAGTTATAAGTATTTAAAGTTTAAATTGGCAGAGTGGAGTGGTACGGGGTTACCCCTCAAAATATTTGTCTACTACTCCGCTTGTCTAAACTTTAAATACTTATAACGTTATAACTCATAAACTACTCGTCCTAAATTCGATTTTTATGAATCAAAATACTTAGAAAAATATTCTGCTTTGGAATATGAAATCAAAACTTTTTTAAATAATGAGTGTTCTTTGATAAATCAATCACCCTGTATRGGATAATATTATTTATTTAGTACCTATGCATACAGCACATGAAAAAATAACTCTTTTAGTTACAATTAAATCATTAATATAAAGTTATCGCAGTATAATACTGTGTTTTATTACAAAGAATAACAAAGTTTATACCTTTGATTCTATTTTGGGAGTTCGATATAGTTCTAAAGGTCGTGTGAAAATATTTCTTCAGGCTCATATTGTAGGGAGAACACAACGAGTGGACGTGAAATAAATATTCAAGTGCATATTATAACGTGATGTACACGAAAGAAACATTTGAAATATTTTTATATGGACCAAGTTGTAATGAACAAATTGGAATGGCTGAGATGAGTGGGATTCCATATCTCCGTGCTACCGTGTCGTAGCGGCGCCCTTATTAAAAAGAAAAACCAAACCGAGACATAATAATATTATACTCGTTGTCATAATAATAATACCATATTCGTGGAAATTCTCGCCTGTTCCCTTATAAAACGTGGAAAATCGTATTTTAAATCTTATATTTAAATCAACAATATTGTTGTGTATGTGTTACCATGTAACGGGATCCGGTGTATAGGAGAGATGAAAAAAAAATATACTATTTGTACAAAAAAAGTATAAAAAATTACTACTCGCTGTAAAGTTTAGTGTACGTACAAATACTGTGTTATAAGTATATACAGGTATGTATCCATGTTGATTTATGGTCATCAGAGGCAGCCGGTGTGTGCCGCGGGACACGAGGAATGCTCTTTTAAGTCCGACCCGACTCTGCATTCCTATACTGTATCTGGTCCATCTTACAATTTATTCTTGTTTAGGTTTTTTCATTCTTTTATTATTGTTTTTTCCTTTTTATTTTATATATTCTTTCTACAATAGACTGTTATATTATACGAAAGGTAATATGATGATAAGACAATTGATGTTTTTCGGAAGAAAAAAGTTCGGGCTACCACTTTTTTTAATCCTCGTGTCCTTTACACTCAACCGGTTTCTTAGCACTCGTTCGATTTGCGTTGTGTAATAATAATAACTAATATTAATTGGCCATCATTAGTCTAAAAGACTAAGCCGCAGAGGTGGATAATCGAATACTTTATCCAATCAACACGTATATACGTAGTCAATAGTATTGATTTTATAATAGTAGATTTAAAAACAATAATTATTATTACTTATTACCTATATTATTACATATCGTTAAATGATAAATATGATTATATCTCGATCTAATATTGCTTTACTATCTGTTCTTAGCACTGTAACACATAGTTAAAAAATAATTTCACCATACTGACGACCAAGGTCATATACAGCTATAATATTTAGCGTTACTTCTGATTGTCAAGAATATACAGTATATTTTAATAATGTATAATATGAATTACCTACCTGTATAATGATAAATATAATATATAATATTGCATTATTAAAATTACGCATTTGTTTACAGTTAAGAGCATTGGAAACTCACCAACAAGCGTCCACATCTTCACCGATTGGCGGCGGAGATTCACCGGCGAACAGATGGACAACCATTGCAGATCATACCGACTCACATCACAGCAGCGTCGGATCCGGAGCATCCAGTGTGGGCCCTGTTGGTGGCATTGCCAGCCCTGCATCCTCTCCGGCCACTGCCAATAGTGTTTCGGTGGTACACAAAGAAGAAGACACATCCAGAGACGGTAATGATATGATAAAACTGCATTATAATAATTAACTTTTGTGCAATGTTGGAAGTCTCGAAATACACGGATAAAGTGGCATTGCTGTGTACAAACTACAAAGTAAAAATCGTTAGGTATTTATTTATAAATTGGTTATAATATTATAATCCTATAATTTGTATAAAAAGATTCATAAAAGCAAAATATATAAGCTGTGATAAAATGATTAAAAGTTGATGGTCAGTTCATCAACAAACTTATAAGGCCAATGTAAGAGTAAAAAATAAAATAAGTATAACTATTATGCACATTTATTACACGTTTTGGATATGTATAACTATATTTTAAGTTTTTCAGCTAAACAATCCATTGTTTAAGTTAAAAGCTACTKATCAAAATAATTAATGCACTGTATTAACAATATGTTCTCTCTTAATATCACTCTATTATAGACTAGGTATAGCTATTGATAATAAAATGTTTATCGATTTATAACGACTCAATAAAGAAATCTAAAATGTATATATATATATAAATTTATTATATCCCGTGAAATCAATTACTATATTACGGTGTACGAGCTGTTTGTATTTTTCATAACTGTTAAAACAATTAAAAAAAACTATTTTCTTATCAAACAGTTCATGCAGACTGTAAAAGAATGATGTATGCGTTTGCGATTAAACATAYCTTGTACACTACTCCGATATCCCAACAAGTCATGCATATCGATTGTTTTAGCAGTCGCTAATTCGCTATACATCGCTTTAGTAAGTATATAATAC